TTGTCCTCTGGAATCTGTCAAACAGGCAGTTAAGAAGAGGCACTTTTCTGGAATGACAGTGTAAATGATTAAGGACTTTCTTGTTGAGTTTAGTTTTCCTGACAAACTGGTGTCATCATAATTAAATGCACAAATTTCTTTCCTACCCTTCAAATTGCCATTGCAAGAAGTTATTTATTTATTTATTTTTGTTTTCTGTTTGCTTCATTTTTCTCCTGACACTGCTCCCCTTAACCCCTCCCTCTAAGTAAAAGTTCTGCAGGATTCAAGATTTAACAACAACAACAATAAAAACAAAACAAAACAAAACAAAAAAGGGAAAACTCTCTTGCTTCCTTAGTCCTGCTACAGAAGTTTGATTATTGCATGTTTTCTACTCCATTGGGCTATAGATTTCTCAGACTGTCCAAGGTACCGAGTGTTAAAGGTGAATACCATGCAATACCACTACCAAATTTTCTGAGATCACAGAAAAAAATTAACTCTAAGAGCTTCAGCCTCTTCATTACTTCACCCTTCATTCTGAGCCCATTTTGTAGCATGTTATAGCATAAATTAATACCATGATTGATGTTATCAGTTTAAAACCAAGACCTTACCTTCTAGTTGCTCCATTGTCCATATTTAAGTGATTTCTACCATGCTCCTTTTGGTGGAATGAGGGATTCTGTGATGTCCAAATGTTCTCAACTCCTGGCTTTTGCTCATTATAATTGTCTTTTCTCACTAAGCCTATTCCAGTTCTACCGTCTCTCAAATCTCAAGTCAGGGTCTTTCTCTTTTAGGAAGACATCTATCTTTCTGCTTACTTTTTCCAGACAATCTCCTATTTTCCTATTTATTTGTTTATTTTAAATAGACTTTATTTTTTAGACACTTTTTAGGTCGTAAGCAAAATTGAACAGAAAATACAATAAGTTGATGTACCGTTTGTCCCCACATCCACATCATCAAAATCATCATCATCCTTATTATAACTATTATAGTTAGAACAGTCTTTTTTTTTGAATGTGTGTGTGTGTGTGTGTGTATGTGTGTGAATGTGTATGCATTTTAGGGAGAGTAGGAGTCTTGTCTTCTCTTAGAGTGCCTAAGATTATAATATCACATAAATCAGTATTTAAAAATAACATATTGGCTGCTAATGCCATTGCTTTACATTAGCATTAGAAAACATGAAAATATGTGACACATTTTTTGATGTATTTCTTTCTGATGTTGCTTTTATTTTTTTTTAATGACATACTAGAAATAATGAAGGAATGACTGAAATGTACACCATCTAAGATATCTCTATCCATATTTAGTTTTAGGGTAGAAACTGGTCCTTATCTTGGTTAATCATTGGAAATAAAATGCTTTTGTGTCACAAGAGTTATCAAGAAACTGGTTTGGGTTCTCTTTGGATCTATACGTCCTTTTCCAGTGTTTGAAAAAGGAACTTGAGCTGATGTTCTACTGATGTTATTGGGATCCCTTTGTATACCCATGATTATGCCAAGTGAAATGAAAATTCCAGAAGTCTTCTTGATCACCTCTTCCTCACTTGGACAGTTTTGATCTATTCATGCAGAGTGGAGGAAAAGTCATTCACCAAAGAACCTATGACTAAGGACAAGGAAAGGTGACGAATGTGATGCTTTACAAAGGCAGAATCAGAAATGAGCTAATTTCTGAATCATGCCCTAAAAGGGGTTGGGATGTGTATTGTGGAGGGACTCTTTCCAGACAGTTTTTTTTTTTTTTCCAGAGCAGGAGTTTGTGAAGTAAGTCCTTAAAATCACATCTGTTCACCTTATGTGACGGGAAGGAGAAGCGACTTCTGAAACAGGGTGATTGAAATGGAAATACATTCAAATAAATGGACTCGGGAGTTCGCTTTGTTCTAAATAACCTCTACTGTAAGTGATCAGCTTATTTGAAAGTATGATAGGTGGGCTATTGGGGCAAGGCTGTATTTGATTTTTTTTTTAATCATTAGTCTATCTTCCTTTCTTATTCAACCTTTTGGAATAAGGTCTTACACACAGGGCAGAAAAGGGATTGGAAGAGCTGAGCCTTCAAAGGACACTCTGCATGTGTTTCTAATGGGTTTTCAAGTGCATCCTCTCCCCTTGGACTGTGTCTTTTTTAGAGCACCTTGGTTTGAAATTCGCTGTATTACCACTAGGTGGTTAGAAAGCAAGGAATGCTATAGGTACTAAGTTATGTGTACAAGGGAAAAGATTCAATTTTTTCCTTAATTAATAAAGTCATGCAGAACCCTGCAGTACCAACAATTGCACCTTGCATAACACAAATGTGTGTCACGGTTAACTATGTCTGAGCTGCAGGTTGGCGGGCAGGAGATCAGTTACAATGATATACACATTTCAGCCTAAGATCGGCTCATGCTTTCCTTTCTCTCTTTTCCTCAGCCTCATCTTTTATCTAACTTGGGCTGACAATGCTCCTGTCACCTGAATTGCTTCTTCCCTCTTCTCACTCACTGAATTCCATGCTCTTGGTTGAATTCTTTCAAGTAAAAAGGTGAAGAGATCCTACCTGTTTGTTGAAGACATGATATGGCTTAGGCATTGTACATGTGACTTTTCATACTTGACCTGGGTGTATTCTGTTTGCAACTGTAAACAAAGAAAAAAAAAGAAGAGGAAAAGAAAATATTATCCCCATTATAAAGCCGGGAAATTTAAGGCTTGGAAGAATAGAATGAATTATCCAGAGTCATATGAATCCTAAATTTTGGTATTAGAATCCCGATTCTCCACCAAGGTTTAGTCATGCTTTCCTTTCTCCCAACATCCTATGTAACTTTTCTTTATTTATGGATTCAGCTAGGTGTTTCAGCCCCTAGATAAAACTGTCTGCCTAATGTCCCTCTTTTACCCATTTCCTCCTGCCTTTAAATTAAAAAAAAATTGAACAATCTAGAAATACATAGAGCCAAAATTTTAGGTCTCTTTTTACCTTCTTGCTCCATTCTTTCTTCCATTACTTGAAGTAACACTTTGCAACTTATCATGTATCTCTCAGACAATTATCTATTACGGAGGCAAGCAGAACTTGGGCACATACAACTTAGGCACATGTATACATTGAAACGTACATACACATACACTATTCTAGTGTATTCTAGCTGCTATAACAAAATGCCATAAACTGAGTTGTTCATAAGCAATACATTTTTTTTTCTCGCAATTCTGGAATTTGGGAAGTTCAAGGTCAAGTTGTCAGCTGATTGAATATGTGCTGAGGGACCATTTCCTCATAGATGGTGCCTTCTCGCGGTGTCTTCCCATGGTAGAATAAGTGAATGGACTCCCTGGAGCCTAGTTGTAAGGGCACTAATCCTGTTCATGAAGGTTCTGTCCTTAAGACCTAATCATGACCCCAAAGTGTCTACCTCCCAATACCATTGATTTGGGGCTTAAGGTTTACATACGAAGAGGAGGTGGCACACACATCCAGATTACCATATACCATACACGTGTATATTTCTCTACCTACATGTGCATTTTAGTTTGGATTCTTTTCTCTGTAAGTGGGTTTATATTACATACATTTTTATGAGACTTGATATGTTTCAGGTAAAGACTTTGTTCCAATTACTTGGCTCCACAGTAAATTATCCCAGGATTTAGTGGCATAAAAGAGCCATTTACTATATTCATAAATCCTATAGATGAAATATTTGGAAAGGTTCTGTTGGGGAAGGTGTGTATCTACTTCCCAAAGTCTGGGGCCTAGAGGACTTGGAAGCTGTAAGCTGAAATCATCTGTCTGTTCATTACTCACATGTCTGGAGGGTGCTTACAGTAATTGACTGGGGGCCACAGTTGCTCTCCATGAGGGCTTCTCCATCTGGTCCTTTTGTGCAGGCTGTAGTCTGTTCCACGGAATCGTGGTGGCCTCTTCCAGAGTGAGTAGATCCAAGAAAAGAAAGAGAATTTTAATACTGTTTCCAATTGGGAAAAGAGGAACCTGGTTTAGTTGAATGTGAGAGTCATTTTCAAAAGCATCTTCTAAGGAATGTTCCTGTTCTACATTCATCATGTAGATAATGAACCACCTGTGTAAGCCATACTCCTTCCAAGGGAGCCCAGACTACTTCTCCTGAGCAAAATTGGAAGGGAACATGGCAATCACAGCTCTGGATCCTTTCCCATATTATATGCCTCATGTTTAACATACACTTTCAACAGCTTTTTAAATAGACATTTATATTCCCACTTTCAGATCCAACAACTGAGGCTCAAAGGCATTGGATAATGTGTCCCTAAGTCATGTAGCTAGAATGTACTGGACAAAAGACTCAAAGTCTGGTTTGTCTAACTCTAAATCCCATATCATATACTGCCTCCCCACATTCGTGCACTTAGAAATTATAACCTCACACTAATAAATACAAACAATATGCATTTTAAGCTTTTGCATATACTAACTCATTTAATATTTTAAGACAACCATGTGAGATAATTATTTTCTATTTTCAGATGAAGGATCAGAAATTTAAGTAGCTAGCCCCAATTTTTCTAGCTAGTAAGTGGGGGAAGTTAGTATTTCAGAGATAATATTGTCCAGAAATATAAATATGTTTAAAAGAGTTTGGGTTAATGCATGAATTATAGCTCTGTAAAATATTATTACAGGGATGTTGGTCTTGAGGGTACACGGTTACACTGTGAAACTGTCACACTGCCTCCTCCAAACGCCCTGCAGGACCACTCTTGGAGGGAGAGTTCTGGCCTGGATGGATCCAGGGTGTTAAGGCATACATTATTAAGTTCTGAACTTAATATTAAACCTGAACAGAGCAGTCTGGCTAATTCACCCACAAATTCACTTCATCTTGAGCAGCAGGATTCCTACCCCACCTGAAGTATCTAATTAACCCGCCAAATCTTCTCAGTGTGACCAGATGAATGCAGACTTGGCAGAGCAGAGAACCACCTCCAGCCTGTTGGAATGTGGGAAGAGGCAAGGCACCCTGGGAAGGCCTCTTGGAGGTCAGCAGAATTATTGGTGAGCAATTTCTCTAACAGAGGGAGGGAATTTAGGGTTTAGAAGTTTCCCCATTCCAAGAACACAAAGGCATTTGTATGGAGTTAGTGTCCAGTGGAGGCTGGGAGCTCACACACCCCAATTACTGCCTCAGCATCAGAAAGGCTCAGCCCCGAGGCCACACTACTACTGTCAACGTAACTTGTGGAAGACACTATGGAGGAGCAGTAATAGGATGTTACTTTTGGGGAAGTATTTCCAACTGGTGGACATCTGGCTCCCAGTGATTCCCATGGAAGAAGAGGGGGTAAGTCTGAGCAGTGACAGAAATCATTGTTCTTTGGCTTCAGTCCAGTGCTAAGAATCATAGCCTTTCAAAGCTAGAATAGCCATAGTCCAGAATTCTCCCTTCAATCTCTTCATTTTGCTAATGAAAAATTGAGAGGTTCCAAAAATATAAATAGGCTGCACGTGTTTGTTTTGGAATTTAGTGGTAAAACCAGACATGGGATCCAACAGACACTCAATAAATACTTAATGAACAAGTGACTTTAATAAGTGCACACTACAGGATAAGCTCTGTTCTCCATTATTAAAAAAAAACAAAAAACAGAACCCTACTAATTACAACATAACAATTATTGGCATTTAAAATCATACCTGTGAAGTCTTATCTGGCTTCTTAAAGATTAAAAATAATATCCAGTATAATCTCTGAGTCAAAATATAGTATTTTCCAGAAGAGTTTTAATCTTTATGGAGCAAAAAATAATTCAGTTAATCGGAAAGTTTGAACTCAAACAGCTCATTTCAAGCAAGTTGTGCAAATAAGGAAGAGTTTTCTGTAGTCTAAAGCAAAATTAGCAATCACCCGCTCTCATTATTGCAAAATATTTGAATCCAGAAAAATAAGATTAAGGGTTTATTTCACTTCAGGTAAAACTGTCCCTGGCTCACTCTGAGGCCCTGTTTCATGTCTTTACTCAAGGTGCTCACATCTTGTGAAGACTCACTCTTATTTTTTTCTTCTTTTTTTGTGCTGGGCATTGAACTCAGAGGCGCTTTACCACTGAGCCATATCCCCAGTCCATTTTATCTTATTTTAAAAATTTTGAGCTAGGGCCTCATTAAGTTATTGAGGCTGGCTTTGAATTCGAGATGCTCCTGCCTCAGCCTCCCAAATTGCTGGGATTATAGAGTGTAGTCACCCTCCTTTATAGAAATACAACACAGTGGAGGCTGTTCTTGATGTTCAATTGCATAAGTTTTTATTCTTACAAGAGCCGGTGAGAGGGAACTTAACAAACCGTGACAGAAAAGGAGGGCTGAATTCTGCTGCCCCCAAGGATACCTCTTGCAGTTGTTCTGTGAAGTGGGCTCTGGATGAACTCCACTGCCAGTACCACACTAGCATGGCTTAGTTCCGTATCCTTCGTAATCCAGGGTCTACCATCAAGTAGCTACACAATATATATTTGTTTACCAAATCCATTGTATTCAAATATAGAAATATTACAGAGATCAACATGGAGAGAGATTACTGTTTCTTTCATATGGTCTTGTGCTTTGGAGGAAGTGAAAGAACTTGAAACAATCTGCTGAGCACGGTGGTAGACACTTGTTATCCCAGTGACTCAGGAGGCTGAGGCAGAAGGATCATTG